CGTGTTGTTTCCATCCTCTGCGATTTTTTTCGGCAAGGAAAGATGATTAATTGCTAAAATACGGTAGCATGTTTTTTCGGAAGTTCGGCAGGAAGTATTTTTCATAATTCTGAAAATCCCATAACGATGATACTATTTTCTGGAACCTCCACTGCTTGAACTTCTTTGAAGTAGACGTTTAATGAAATCAGTGGGACAGTATTCAAATTAAGTATAGCAATTACAATCCAATTATAAAAAGAAAGATGGTCTGTGAGCTGTTTTTTTTTCCTTATGGCCCCCTAAAGAAGTACTGTATACTGACGTGGAACATTTTATTTTTATCGCTTTCCTTCCCTACTTTTGACCTGATAGTCGAATTTTGTGTTAAAATTGTTCGCCTCTTTTTTTGTGTTATTCTGTCAACAATCTCTTTCCTTCTTTCTCCGAGCAGAAAATCAGATCGCTCTAAATAATAAGGTGATGTTGTAAAACGGGGCTTTCCTGAAGTTGTGGTGATGCTGAGAGACTCGAGTTTCGTTCCGTCGTTCGACCCTAGTGCGTTCAGTTCATTGACCAACAAGGGCTTCAACATGAACTGTGAGTATTTTTTTTTCGCCAGATTTATTTTAATCAGACGATTTTTTTGTGGTTGCTGCAAATAACTTTCGCATTTCTGACATTCGTGCGCCAAATTATCGTGACTTCAGTCTTGAAGCGACGAGGCTCGAAGGTCTTTGAGGAAAGCAAAATTTTGGTGTATCAACAATTATCGATTATATTTATGAACAACCTCATCCCAAGTGTGATATCAAAAATGGAACTGTTTTGTGGTGAATAAGAAGTATATGTCCTAAATTATCCTATTTGCCTATAGTACGACGACGGATGAGCTAAATTTTGGCGAATTTTCCTGGCAGACACCAAACGTAAATCGATTTATTATATCCAAACATGAATCATGGCACGTAGGTTCCTCTGAACTCATCGAAAGTTTTCCTACGCATTTTCATGACGACAGTAAGATCGCCTGTTTTGTTTGGGTACCATACAAATTGAGATTGCAGGGTATATTTTTTAGGAGTATAAATTCACTTCATGCAATTTTTCGATTTCGGACAAATCTTCTGCGACTATGTTGAAATATTCAACATGATCCGAGGAAATTCTGGATGTTCTTTAAATTCAGAAGAGAAAAAAAATTTCAAACACCAAAAAATGCAGGAATTTTGCTTTTTTTTTTACCTCACATTAAATCATTTCAACTCCCCAAAATAAGGCGCCAGCAGGTTTCGATAGCGTGTATGAAAGTCATTCAAGATTCGATGTTTTTATAGTTTTCTTTACTTTTACCGCACGAAAACTTTTTAAACAGATCTGAATCTGAGGTTTAAACAGGTCTGAGGTGAATCGCAGATGCAAAAAAATTGGCTAAGATAATAGGCATGGAATGCAAATTCAGGATCAGCAAAAACTGATATACTTTTCTTAATCCAACCTTAACTCGCAGACACGGGCTTCTAAACGTGTTTGACTCAATAACTCGATAATATTTTAGTTTAAAATTTTATCATAATTTCTTTTACACACTTGAAATGTTTAGTGTGCTCTGATTTTTGAACTTTCCGGTCGTGTCGAGTAGCTTTGGAACGTGGATTCTTGCGCAATGGAAAACAATCAGACAATCTGGCAGCCGAAGTTCGAGCAATTTCCGCAGAAAACCTCGGCGTTTTCGTGTATTTTCCCGTTATCGCGCATTTTCAAAACTCGCTGTCGCCGCCTATCCGTCGACATCGTCGACGTCGACGTCGTCGACCGTGATTTACGACAGAAAAAAAATTCCTCTGTCGAGTACTGATTTCCTTCTCGTCCCCCAAATCGTATATCCACAAAGCCAAAATTTTATGGCAGTAAAATTTTATGGCCGCTTCCGTGTGAGCGAAACGAAAAGCCAAAGGTTTCCCTGCGAAGCGAAAGCTAATATAAGAAGAGCAGCAACAGCAGCACGTGTTTGAGCGAGGAAAACAAGGGGAAATTAGGGCGCTTTTCCGTCGTCAACGATCGACTGTGTGTCGAGATTTTATGGCTCACCTTCGCTGGCACAGATAAAACCTCGTCTCATGCTTTTCGGTTACATATTGAGCTAAATGTGCTGGTATCTCGCCTTTTTTTTTTGAGGACATTTCCTGCTTTCTTTCTTTTTTTTTATGTGGATCAGAGATTCACTGAAAATAAAAACAGAGTCGAATTCACCTACCTGTTCTATGGCCGGAAGAATAAATCTGATGACGAGGGAAGAGTTTGTGTCCACAAGATTATTGGCGCCTACATTCATTCAGTGCTTTTTTTATTATTACTTTCGAACACCTCCGGTGAACCGCAGATGCAAAAAAAAAATGGCTGAGATAGGCATGGAATGCAAATTCAGGATCAGCAAACACTGGTGGACTCAGTTCTTAATTCAACATCAACTCATGCAGACAAAGGTTTAGAAACGCGTTTGACTCAACTCAATTATATTTTAGTTTAAATTTTTATCATACATTTTTTATACATTTGTATAATTAGTATGCTCGGATTTTTTAAATTTCCGGCGATTTTAAAAATTTATTCCGAATGAAAACGGTTCAAACGAGCACGTCTGAAAATTCGGGAAAAGTTCGTTACCACCAGCATGTCTATAAAATGAAAAAAAAAAAAATGTTCTCGTGCTTTTGTATTGAATCACGCATCACATCAATATTAAGCCAACATGCCTACGATTCACTTCTGCTGGAAATCTTCATTCAATTTTGTTGAGTAAAAAGTCGAATTACGATTTTCCGGTTGAGCCTTCAAAGAAAACAATTACCTGATAGTAGGCGAACCATCTGAAAGTAAATATACATGTTCCAGTGCTTGAAGAGAAACACTTTGATAAGAGCTATTTTACTACTGCAGGGATGTGGAATCGTTTAGACACATGGTGAAAGGTACATGGTGTAAAGAAAAGAATGATGCAATGTCCGGTCTTATCTTCAAACCCGCTAATTGCACAGATTAACTACCACAAATATAAATGGGATTTTTCAGATGTCTTGCTGAGATGCTGCGGTTCGCGTTATTGATTATATCCAAAACATTAACTGATTTTGCGCATTATTTTCACGGCGTTACTGAATTAATTGAATCAAAGACCTTCGGAATTCATTTTTTCCCCAAAATTGTGGCAAAAAAAAAAACTGGGGGGCATTCTATTAGCGTTTAGGTCTTTGAAAAAACACCATTGAGTCTTCAACTGTCTCTATAAGGTATGAGCCATATACTGTACACGTCTTTACAGTAATGTCTTGAAATGAATGCCGAAAATATTTAAAGTCAATGTCCATATAGTAATCCCTTCGAATTTCAACTTGTATTCAATCGGACGAATGTTTGGATTTAAAAAAGATACTGTTTCTCCATTTTTTCGGTTCCAGATTTGACGAGGGATTTAATATTCTGTGTTTTCATCATAAACATTCATGCATCCCGCAATATACTAAAAATACAAAGGGAATACAGTAGCTGGGCTAATTCTTTCCCGATTGTTTCTTCAGTCGTAAAATGAAGTGAAGGAATCAAAGGACTGACGTGTTTGCAGTTGTACCCCCAGGTTTTGACGGAACTCAGGAAAATTACCAGACATTTGGTTTGAGCTTGACGTGGAAATCCCTGGGGTTCGATGAATTATGACTTGCAGCAGTCGGCCAACACGGTTTTATAAACTCCAGGGTTTGTGTTGTGACAACCAGGAGACAGCGACTGAGAATAAAAACCCAACCCTTTTCAAGTTGAAAAATGTACCAGTTGTATTTGTTTCCAGGCGTCACGCATTAAAAACTTCGATTTCTGCTTCTTCCGACCCCCTTTTCCCCTGGTTAATTAAATTAAAAATAAAAGGTGGATCAGAGAAATGAAAAATGTTAAAAAATACTAATGCTTCCGGAACAACGGACGCCATCGAACTGAGAAACATTAAAAATTCAGAGTTATTCAATCACCATTTTTATGTTTTGTGCTATCGATGCAGTGATGCACCAAGAACATTCCTAAAATATTATCAGTTGAAACAAAGGAAAATTGAGAAAAATCACATTAGTAAGCTTATATAAAATTTGTCGGATTTTCGTTTGAACTTCGGAGAACCCAGCAGCGACTTCACAGTAAGCTTTTCCAAAAGCAATCTGGGGTTTGTGAGAATAATAAAAAAAATGCAAGCGTATTTTATTTTTCCAAGATTGAACCTGCTGTAATTACACGGGTTTATTTGGTGTTAACATTTGTTAAGGTTCCTGTCTGAGTTTCGTCCTTGGTGTGAATATTTATCTGGAATTATTGGTCGAATGTTGTGAGGATGGATTATCATGAAATATGACCGAGATAAATAAAATGAGGTTCCCACAGATTGTGATTTATTTGCCAAAATTCAAACGCTATCTTTTTAAAGAAAAGAGAAGACATTATAATTTTTTTCTTGGGAATATTTTTCGTACATGGTGGTTGATTTCCCTCAGGATTATTCAAATCCGAGGATGAGGCATACAAGGGGTTACATGTTTCCGCGCGGACCCGTTTTGGCGCGGACTTGAAATGATCTGAACACCAAGGATTTTTCAAAAATTTTTTATTCATATTCACTAGTTCCAAGAGGCTAGGCAGACACCTTCTCAATGTACAGTAATCACTACCTATTTGTACACACTTCTCAGCCCTTTTGATCAATTTTTTGAAATAACATGCCTTGAAATGTTCTGTTGTTAAATTTTGAAGGTTTCCCAGAACAGCGGCAACAACGAGCTGATACGCGCGGAACCGTGTAAACCCATCGTATCTGAAAAGCAGATTCGTGCGCTTTTCTGAATAATTAAGAAAATAAATTATTTCCGTGAACTCTGTTGATAAATCTATTGTCATCTTTTGAAACATGAAAAATTAAAATTTTACTGAATTGAAATTCAACGACTTTCCATTTGTTGCATTTGCCAACAGCAGCGGAAAACATGCTGTCGGCGGCGAATCTGACAGCAGCAGCGGGTCTTTTCCTGCCGCCGCTGTTCCCCCTGACAACGGGGTTCCAGAGCCCATTCGGATTGCAGTACAAACCGTCGTATTGGTTCGCGGCGGCCGCGGCGTCCTTCCCGCCGCCTCCGCCGCCATTGATGGTGAGCGCGGCAGCGGCGGCGGCGGCGGCAGCCGCGGACGTCGCCGCCGCTGCAGCAACAGTCTGCAAACCAGTTCCGTCTCCGAATGGGGCTGCAGCAGCTGCTGCTGCGAGAGAGGCTTCGTTTCGTGCTGGGCTGCATTCCGGCTTATTCTTCGGTGCTGCCGCCGAATTCTCCAACCAGAGTTGCAAAGGTGAGACTCTTACGCTCATTTTGTCAGGGTGGAATTAAAAAAAAAATATATGAATAAATAAAATATATACAGTATACGAGGTTCTAACAAAAGTTCTCGGAGTAGCAATGAAAATGGCATACAATTGAGCTGAAAAAAAAATGTATTCTCTAGCCAAAACATATTCTTTGGCACGCAAAAAAATCAGCCTGGTTTGACAATTTTTTTTTAATTTTTTGCAAAATTCATCCATATAGAGTTTTGCTCTCCACTCAAAAAATGAGGCGCCCTTTTTTTGTTGCAGCCCAGCTTTCCCCTCAGAATTTTTGAAATCAACTTGGCATTCTTTCTAAGGGTTGCCTCCAGGTCATCCAAGGCAATTCCGCCATTTTCATCAACAGCCGCCTTCACAGCCGCCAAAATGGCGGCCAATGTGGCGGCCGTCGTACATATACAGTATATATATGTATTAAGATTAGACCCTTCTTTGAGCTTTATTCTTCGAGCTTAGACCGGCGTTTTATTGAACAATACAGTGAATTACTTTGTTCCTAAAAATTTATGTCGAGAAGCGAACAGATTTTAATGCAGATATATTTTTTTTGGCGTAGTGAAGATGTGATTTAAATGAAAAACATGGTTTTCTACTTTTGCTTTGTTTTCTTCTTCATTTGTCAGAGAGAGACCTGATCTCACCTGCTGGACACGTGTCCCCGGGGTCCGACGTATCTTCACCACCCCGAGACACCGGCAGAACCCCCATCTCGACGAACCTGACCTCTCCACCGGCAATCGCCCTATGTTCAGCCTCTCCTTCCCTTTCTTCTTCTTCTTCATTATCCTCCTCGTCCTCATCGTCATCATCCTCGTCTTCTTCTTCGTCATCATGTTCACCCAACAAGCCCACGCTGGTTCGTCCGGTCTGCGTGAAACCCAGCAGTGCAGCATGCAAGGACTCGAACCCGCTATCCGTCACGTCCCTGACAACCCGGACAACCCCGTCTGTCGTCAGCAGTTCAGCCAGCATTTGCACCAGCACCCATAACAGCCCGAGTCCCTTCGGTCTCCTCAAGTTCGCAGCTCATCGCGCAGGCCTCGACTTGAGTCCATTCGCCGCCGCGTCCGTATTGCGAGACCGACTCGGCATGTTCCAGCACCACGCCCCTCACCTTTTCCCGACCAGCAGTACTTGCAACTCTGTTCAGAACAACTGCAGTACTAGCACGGGACCGCACGCATTTCCGGACTTTGCGACGTGGCTGAGCAAGCACGGCGGCGGCGGCGGCGGCGGTGGCGGTGGAGGCACTGGGATGGCGAATGGCGGCATTGGCTTAGGTGGTGGTGGCATCGCAGGGAATAATATGAGCTCCACTGCGGGGTTGGATGTGGGGGGAGTAGGTGGGGGTCAGCAGTTGTTGCGACCCGGGACAGGGAGTTACGGGGACGTTTTCACGTGTGTCAAGTGCGACAAGATGTTTTCCACGCCGCACGGGCTGGAAGTGCACGCCCGGCGGTCGCATAATGGGAAAAGGCCGTTCAGCTGCGAGCTCTGCAACAAGAGCTTCGGGCATGAAGTCAGCCTCACACAACACAAGTTAGTCTTCTATCCCTATGAACAAATTTGTCTCCCTGAAACTTCTTTTTCAGAAATAAAAAGAAAAAAAGGGGAAGAGAAAAGTATTTACTCAGACTCAGGTTTAATGAATTAATGAATGAACAGAACAGTTTATTTGCCGCTTTTCAGCATTCACAAGGTTCAATCAAGATTTCCATGGCTTCATATTTTACAACTATCAATAATATTTTACACTTGAGATGCAGTAAAATATTGTTATAAGAAACTTGAAGGGAACTAAGAGAAAATGTTAAAAATGCTGTACTGAATAATATGTTATATAATACATCAGACAACCGTCTTTAACCCTTGTGTGGCAAAGTAGGGATATTTTTGCAAAATTTTGTGTCACTGAGAAATAGGAATTTAAAAAATGCAACTTCTGTACAAAGGCCTGAGTCCGGAAAAAGTCCAACATTTTTTTATAATCCAGCAGAAAATTTTGGATGAAAATTAAAAAAAAAATCCCTGACTGGGTGGCATTTTTTCCTGCATTCCTGGTATAGGATTAGCATGGAAGATTCTTGAAAACAAAAGAGATTTTGTCTCCCGGATTTTTCCCAACTTAGGCCTTCTCAACCTGGGAGCATTTCAGCAACCTTGGGTCAAACTGAAATGCTCCACCCCCCAAAAATATCCCGACTTTGCCTCATGATGGGAATGAACCCTCTGCCATCCAAGGGTTAACCCTTCTGTGGCAAAGTTTGACTTTTTTGCAGATTATGGGTGCACTCATGAATGACATTTAAAAAAACCATGACAGTGTGTGTAGAGCAAAGTCAGGTAAAATCCTGGCATTTTTTAAATTTCCCACAGAAAAAAATTCACTTGGAAATAAAAAAATAAAATCTTCAAGGCTCCCTTTTTTTCCCCTGGCCTTGTGTTGTTCCCCCATTCAAAGATTAAATTTAAGCTTGAAAGCCAGGAGCCCAGGTTAGAGGTCAATGTGGAAAACAACTTGGGACTTTCCCAGCATTTCTTTACCCATGGATAAAATCCAACTTTGCCCTTCCCCACCTGGCAGGGGTTGCATAACCTTGTGCAAAAATGTTATGCAGGCCCAAGGGTAAAAAGTCTAACTTTGCCCTGGGATAGAAAAAAGGCCGCCACCATCCATGGGTTAAATCAAACATCAAGGGACCTGCAAAAAAATGTTGACTTGGAGAGGTTTTCAGTTGGGGCCTGGGGGAAAGAAGCATTTCTGTGTTGGGGAAAAGGATAGAAAAATACAGCGTAAATTGTGATTGGTAATATTCTAGGCTTTAAATTGATTATTGAATGGGTTGACAGGATGCTGACATAGCAGGCAAGGATTCATTTGCCCAATTAGACTTTCCCTTCTTTTCAAGACACATCAAGTTATTTTGTATTGCTTTTGTATTTCATGCATCAAGAAAATAATAGTCAGATGGCCTAAGAAAATTTGACTTATGGAAGTTTGCAAGGAAAAGCCATTGAGTAAAACAAATTGGAATGCATTTTCTTCAAGGGAATCCAGACAGGGACTTGAAACGCAATAGTGGCTATCATTTCTTTATACAGGAAAGAGAATTGCTATTTAAAAAATTGTGTTTTGTTTTGAAAGAAAGTGAAAGACCAATTTGGCAAGTGAATTATTACCTCAAAGCTCAGTATCCTGTCAACTCATTCAAGACAAATCCAAGCCCTGAATATTCAGGTGGTACCTCACAATTTGACAATAATCAATTGCTGGACTAGGGTTGAATTGTGATGTGGTTAAATTGCAAGGCACTTTGTAAACTTGAGAAATATTAGCATAAAAATGAGAAAAAAATTGCCAAAGCAGGCCGCATTCTGGGGCAGAGGTTGAATTGCGAGTCAATCTCCCTGAAAATTCAACCGTTGAATTGTGGAATGGTCAAATTGAGGGAGGTCAAATTGCAAGATGTCACCTGTATTTCCATTAAAAAATTTCTGCAGATTTTTATTGTTCCCAAAAATTTTTTTTAGTGTCCTGATCTGAAAAGCTCCTCCATAGCTCAAATTTTTTTCTGGTCCCTTGAAATTCGACTTAGTGAGGTTTGGCTGTACTTTATTTGTAAAACCAACTCCTTGTTTACAAGTCACAAATAGAGGCAAGCAATTCATAATTTTGTCGCAAACGAAAAAGAAAGCGTTCTTCATGGTTTCTCTGAAACGTTACCCAATTGTAAATCGGGTTTTGTCTTGAATTCACAGAGCAGTGCACACTTCGGAAAAGTCCTTCGATTGCAAGCAGTGCGGGAAGACTTTCAAACGTTCATCAACGCTATCAACCCACCTGCTTATTCACTCGGACACCAGACCATATCCATGCCAGTATTGCGGGAAGCGGTTCCATCAGAAGTCTGACATGAAGAAGCATACCTACATTCATACCGGTAAGTGAAAAGACCAATGCGCCTAAAAATGTCTGTGATGTGCAGCATCATGCTTTCGTAATCACAGAAGTAGAAATAAATAAATGAAATCCTCAAAACCTCAAGACAATTCAGCTAACAGAAAGTGCTTGCCATTGAAATTGTGTTCTTTTTTTGTTGTTGCTGGAATTCCAATTTTTAAAAGAATCTATTTTCTTCAGAATTTTTTCACGCGTCCTTTTTGCGTTATATCTTTCCTTTTTGTATCGAAGATTAGTAAAAGTTATGCGTTATCGAAAAATCAGGTCACCACCAAAAGTGAAAGGCACTAATCTCCGAAAAGAGATTCTGATTGACCCATGAAATCCTTTTTCTAAGTACTGTATTTAAATAGATCTTCAGAAAAAATGGGACACTTGATTATTGGCGGACGGATCTTTTGGCGTGTTTCTATGCGAATAAAACAGAATAATGATATAGTCCTGAGGTTAAGGATACGATTTCCGTATTGCTTTTACAAGTAAAACTCCGTGACTTTCCCAAAAATACCGGAAGTCCCTAAAAAAAAATTGCATTCCATCGAAGTTGATCCCCTATAGTTTTACCATATACCTTATATTTTCACGTGTGTCCTTCTTCTATATCGCCCCACTCAGTATTCAATTACTTTGCCTCTATTTTTTACGCTTTTTCAATCTCAACAAAGATTTCGTAAACCGAAATCATTCCACAACTGTTCGAAAAAAAAGTTCTGATTATAATGATTCTTGAATTTGTTGCTTTCGTCTTCAGGAAGTACGAGCTATTCTGAAAAAAGCTTCTACTGTTGCGTGTCAAAAACAAATACTGTACTCAGATTGAATTTCTCTTTTGTAAATGCAGTATCGTGCATCGTACTTTGACCATACGCCACTTTGATGCACATCACTTTTTATTCTGAAGAATTACAGTACAGCACTGTACCTGTATGCCACAATATTTCGCTGCTTCATTTTTTATTTATTTTTTTTTTTTACAAGGAATGAAGAAGATTTTCGCCTCTGATGTTCGAGCCAATTTGTATCCCGATGAGGTCGGTGAATTGTTTTGACATACGTTCAGGCAGAGATTCGTCTCGTCATATACACATTCAAAAACAAAAATCGCGCTTCACAGCTTTCAAAAATCCGTTCGGCATTGGATTTTGTTGTTCTCATCCTCGCCTCGGCTTGGGTCAGGAACTGGGGATGAATCACCTTCCGAAGCTGAAGGTTTGACCTCAAATCCAAATGTTCTCTTTCACATTCACATATTTTCCCTGTTTTCTTTTCTCTCGAAATTGTTTTCAATTATGCGTATCGCTTAAAAACAAGCCGGTAATCGAACAGTAACATGGCATTCGAAGCCGACTTCACAAAAAAACAATTAGTCGGATTTCGGAATTCTCCTCTTGTTTCAGAGGTACAGTATGTTCAACGAAAAGTAATTAAATCTCAACTATATCTGATTTAGCAATCATCCGCGCCCAAAGCTCAACTCGATTAGCGAAAAAAACATCAAAAGCAGTCAATCTACTTCCATTTCACACAGAAAATTTCTTACAATTAACATCAGCATTAAAAACGATTTAATAAACGAAAATTATGCGTATATGATCTCGAGAAAAATAGCAGAGAACAACGTCGCATAATAGCAGACTTTTTTTTCAGATTCAATTTCATGCGAATATCGTTCGTCGGTATGATTTTAAGATGAAGATTTGCTAGAGCTGTGCTGCATTTTTCCGTCCAATATTTAAAAAATGTTGATGATTTAGTGAATTGTGGGTTTTCTTAATCTGTGTCTATAATGAAGGTAATTCCTCCGTATTCATAAAAATTATCCTACATATTCTTGTCATGGATGAACGGTTTCATCCACAAGCTGCTCAGAAAATCGATGGTATAGCGTCAGATGGAAATTTATTGACTTTGTCACCGTCGATATGCAAGGATTCATACAAATCGTAGAGAATGCACTAGTGTCTATATAGACAAAGAAGGACTAGACACTAATAACGACAAGCTGTGCAC